TAGTGTTGGGGCAAACGGCGGCTGTGCCGCGAGGCAGCTCTAGTGCGAAATCGCCCGAGTCAAGGCAGTTTAAGTGCAGGGCAAAGCAGCATCCAAATAACCCGGGACAACAGCAGGCTGAAACCGGGCTGACCTCTGAAGGGAGGGGATGTAATGCAGAATGGGGGGAAACCCTGGAATAAAAAGGTTGAACTCGATTTTAGTGCAGAATGGGGGGGAGGGGGGGAACGGACCTGGATTAAAAAGAAGGTTGAATTTGTTTTTAGCTCAGAATCGCTTGGAGGACACCGTGGTGAACATGGATTCAAAGGAGAGTGCAGGAAGGGCAGCTCTACCCATCTCCCTTTCTGTAAAGCATCTCCAAGAAGCTCCTGAGTCCCCCTACAAATCTTTGCTTTTCGTTCCTTGCACTGACCGGTTGTTCGAGCATCCCACGAGCCGTCCCTTGAAGGTGTTCTCTTTTCAAGAGCCACATTCGCCTCTGCAGTACATCACATTCACCTCGGAAGTCACGGTTTGCTTTCCCCTAGGGCTGCCTTCTCTCTCTTTCTCTTTGCTTTAGCTGAGATTGAAGATGAGCTCTGTGGATCCCCAGAGCTTGCCTCCAAGGGCTCAGCAGCATGTTCATGCGCCCCTGTCCCTTCTCGCAAAGGAAGGTTGGGAAACATGCGGCAGCTAGAACTGGGGCACTCGTGACCCCCGGGAGCCACAGAGGGGAGCGGCCCGTGGTGATGGGAAGGAGGAGCGGCGGGATTTCAGCGTCTTTCAGGTGCGCAGTCATGCTGGCCTCTGCCTTGTGTGTCTTCTTGGCCTGGGCTTTTTTTGAGACTAACTCTGAATGTAGTTCACTGTGCGGGACACAGACTAGATGGGGTACCACAGTGGAGCCATATGTGGCTTCTTGGAAGTCGAGGGGGGTATAAATAGAGCAGCAAAGTGCTTGTGTGTGGTCCATCGCGTCTGGAAATGCTGTTGCTTCTGGTATGGAGAGGCTTCAGAAGTTCAAAGATCAAAGCTCGCCCCCATGCAATAATGCTCTGTGTATGTGTGTGTGTGTGTGTGTGAAGTGCTGTGAAGTCGCTTCTGAATGATGGCCACCTTATTAATGAATGACCTCCAAAACATCCTGCCATTTAACAGCCTTGCTCACATCATGCAAAGGGAGGGCCTTTGTGGCTGCCTTGCCTGAGCCAATTCATCTCAGCGTTGGGTCTTCCTTCCTCTGCCCTGCTGTCTTCAACTTTTCCTCGCATGACAGTCTTTTCCAGTGCCTCCTGTCTTCTCAGGATGTGACCAAGGTATACCAGCCTAAGTTTGGTCGTTTCAGCTTCTAAGGAGAGTTCAGGCTTGATTTGATAGGGAAACCGCTTATTTTTCTTTTCGGCAGTCCATGGTATTTGTAAAACCCTCCTCCGACATCACGTCAGTGTTCTTCATTAGCCAACTGTCACACCCATACATAAAAATGGGGGATACTGTGGCATGGATGATCTTGGTCTCCAGAGACACATCCTGACCAGTGTTCCCTCTAAGCTGAGTTAGTGTGAGCTAGCTCAGT